TTGATATTTTATGGACTGCGGACTGAATTTTGGTTCACGCCAATTTTGGTTCACTTCCCATGACCCATTTATTGTTCGTTTCTTCAACGAATAAAACCTTCCGTCCATTTGTTTATTTACTGATATATATATATGAATTATTGTTATATGATCGATAAAGCTAACTTCTACTAGTATACATTCTTTTTTTTTGTTTATCAAAGAATTATCTTTTTTTTTCTTCGATATACTAGTTCTAAATTTTTTTAATCAAGTATCAAGTATATCAAGTGTTATGTCGTCATTCTCATCTATTCGATATTTGGCAAATTGTCTCAATAAATTGTTATCGGAAAAGTGTGTAACATCAGATATTACAACAAAAAATGTTTTATGTGTTTTACAAAAATATATTGAATCATTAGATGAACATTGGTCACATGAAAAACAACAATCCCATTGGGACAAATGTATAAATGAAATGAAGGATATTATTAATACTAATGTATTAATGATGGATGTTGAAACATATTCAAACATTAATAATACCTTCAATACACTTGAATCTACAATTACAACTGCTATGGAAAACAAACATGTTGAACCTGAAGGCTACCAAATGATTAGCTCAGCATTATCTGAATTACGACAAACAATTATAAAATTATTTTCACAATTAATTAATGCAAACAAGAGTATTGAAAAAGAATTTCATGAAACGAAAATAGCACTTAAAAATGTTGAAGCACGTCTTGCTAATATGGAAGCAGATTCATTAGCTATAAAAAAATCAAATTTTATTGCGGATTTAATGCAACCATTATTAAGTAAGATTATGGATGAAATGGAGACAAATTCAATTGATCAGCATTTGTATTCACCACGTGAACTTAGTCGATTAAAAGTTCTTATTAATCGTAAAGAAAATTGGCTTGTATTACATCCACTTGGTCGTATCATTGATAATATTGCTTCTACATATGGATTAACACCAAGTGTTCTTATCGATTATTTACGAATTAAACAAGATAGAAATTCCTTGGCTCGTTATACACAAAAGATTCGAACTTATGCTTTACAATCAAAAGAAGCTAAATTATCAGATTTTATAATGAAATATACAGAACTTCAATCAATCAGTGAATTAGAAATGACTGTATTAGAGCCTGTATTTCTAAATATTTGTAAACAAATAGTAGCAACACCTGAAATAACAGAAGAATAGGTTCTTTTTTAAATAAATAAAGAAGATTTTATTTACTATTGAAGTTTATCAATATACCTTTGTATATTTTAATTAGAAAGAAATATTTTTGATTAGAAATCGAGGAGTAATATAAAGACAAATGAGTATTTAGTCTTTACTCATCGATCATCACCTCATACTAGCAATTGTTTTTGAAAATAATTGAGAAAAAATGAACTATTTAATTATCTATTGATTTATCGATAATTTCTTGAAGAAATATTAGATGATATTGTTGAAGAATTTTCTCTAGATATAAATCGATCCAATTATTTGTTGAATCAGATCAAGGTTCTAGACGAGAATTTAGATTTACTTATGAATGATGAGTACTATTCTTTAAGCTAGATTTCATTGAATATCTTATTTTAGAGAATAAGAAATGTTTTTTAGTAGATATATGAGTATATTGAAGATTTAATATTTGTATATTTAATCTTTTAATTCGTGTTGGTGCAAATATAAATTCATTTGATAATGATGGTTGGACACCATTACATGCAGCTGCACATTGGGATAAACATGATGTTATTAAATATCTTATTGATAGAAATGCAGATTTATATGCAAAAAATGATGCGGTAAATTATTTCTTTTTTTTTTATTTTTCGAAAATTAAATTTTGAATTATTTAGGGACAAACACCTATTGATGTTTGTGATGGAGAAACATTGGATTTATTAAAAGAATTAAAAGAAAAACGACCTCCTATAAAGGTATTATATTAAATAAAAAATTTTATTTTATATTAAATATTTATTTTATAATAGAATGAAACTTCAGATCTATTGAAAAAAAAGTATAATGATTAATATTACAATTCGATTTTAAAATGGATAGTAAAAACTATTTTCATTCATTTTTGTTTAGACTTGTATCAACCCGTCCGATTGATGAACAAAAATCTATTCTTCGATCGGAATCATTTAATGAGAATTTAGAAGCAGCAAATAAACCTCCTCAGGTAGATAAAAATGATTTGTTCTTTTTTTGGTGAATGAAAATAATGCATGTGCTTGTGTATGTCTAGTCCTCTATAGATGAGAATATATCAAATTATTCACCTAATATTAAGGTTTGATTTTATATTTAAATAATTAAAATATAAGATTTGATTTCTTTTATTAATCTAGGAGAAATTGAGTAATCTTCAACGATCATTACATGATTTAAGTAATCGATATTTAAAAACCAATCAAGATGAGGTAATTGAAAGAAACAAAAAAAAATTCATCTTTTTTTTTAAAGAAGAACGGAAATGTGAATGAAGTTTTTCTTTTTATTGCTTGTGCATGATAAGAATTTTGTTTTTAGCCAACAACAACAACAACAACAACATCAAATTCATTAATTAATTCATCTAATTTAAAAGAAAAAGAATTAGTATCTAGTCAATCAATACCAAGTTCATCAAATTGTTTATCTCGATCAAGATATTTATCAACAAATAAATATTCATTATCAAGTCCACAAAGAATATTTACAAATCCATTACAATCATTAACAACAATAAATTTGAATAATGAATCATTCAATCGTGTAAGAAATAAAAAACGAACAGAAAAATGTATCAATTATTTCATTTTTAAATTCTTGATACATTATTCTCAATCATGTAATAGTGAGCGGACAGAGCAAAAAAAGAATACGTTTTAAGAGCCATTGCACGTAAGCCACGACCTATAGTGCTCAATCGAGTATTTCAGATATCGTTGATATTGATATATATCATAGACAGAAGTGTTTGATGATGTTTGGCGCAAACCGCAATAAAAAATGTTGAACCAAAACATTTTTATTGAATTTTTACGAAAAGCCCTGAAATTCAAGATTTAAACGAATCCGTTCAGTATTACGACTATATCTCGAGAACAAGTGAATCGATTGAGCTGAAATTTCGTGTCGAAACTTACAATGAGTAATGCTCGTACCATAAAAAATTTCAAGTGAAACGGTTGTATTTTTATTTTTCTGTGTGTCCCTTTGTGTAAGCAAAAAATGAACATTTTATCAATATTCATGGTCTAATATCTCTTGATCAAAATGTAGTGCAGCCCTGAAATTTTATCTATAGAAAGCCTATACACATGCCTCACTCTAGTGAAAATTTTACCGTCCTCACGCAAAGCCTTCATTCAGGCGGACCTTGCCAAAATTAGCATTTTTCGGCTGTGGCGATCTAAAAAACTATATGTTTTTTTAGCGATTTTTATTCTTGGCCCTGATAGGCCTATCTTTCTTCTACTATATTCTGCAAAGAGTAGCGTGGGATTTCTATGGAAGCCATGGCCACACGAGGCGCACCGAGAGCCCTGAACAGGTTAACTGCTTTTTTAAAGCTGAGCATCGCAAACTAAAAAACATGGTATATTTGGGACATGTAAGTAAGTTTTCATAGAGAAGATGATGGTGTTAATATGCTGCATGCGGCTGCTTCGGATTCTAGTAAGGGGGGGGGGGGGGGGGGGGGGGGGGTTTAACTCCAAGCATTAAGAAATTACAGAGATATTCACGAAATACTGAGACCATTATTCTTT